TTTACCCAAACTGAAGTCTTCTCCCAATCTAGGACTCTTGTCCTTATCCAAGTTGAGTTCCCTCTTCATTCTAGGACTCTTGTCCTTATCCGCTTATCTCGGATTCCGATATCTTTAGAGGCAACCTCGGCCTAGCCTAGATGACCTCGGCGTCAAGACCAGGACACGTGGCACCTCGGCTGACACGTCGGCGTCACCTTGCCACGTGTTGGTACTCAGAAAATATATCCCCACAACTGCCCCCTAGGTTCTATTACCTCGACATTCTGAGGTGATGGAACCTACACTGTTCGTTCATCTGTGCCCCTCTGTCTGAGATCATATTCGCCGACCTCAAAGTTCTCTGGACTTTACTGTCCACTGGTGTCAGGAATCAAGTTTCATGCTTTCCAAGCTGCTTGAAATCGCACCTCCTAGCCGAGGTTCTGGTTCCATTAATTTGTAAACTCCAAGAGCTTTGCAACTACTCCACTCACACTCTCTGGTGAGTTCCCGATTTCCAGTCATCTATTTGACTCCGGTAATTTTCATATCGGCGTTCATTTCACTTGGTAGGTTCATAAACTCTTTACTTGCTATTAAGCTCAATCTTTCATAACTCTTCTGAATCTGTTTACTTGCCATCTGTTGCCTTCTATTTTCATCTATCTTTAAGTTTTGAATTGTTTGAATGCCTGGCACTGTTCTTGTCATATCCGCTTTCTGTTGCTAGCACCATGTCTGGTTCATTACTTTCTTGTTCTTCACATACTTACTTAGTGCCTGTGCACTTGGCTTTATTCTTTGAACTTTGTCATCTTCTCGACTATTTTTCTCTTTTCTTATTTAATCCTCCGGCTTCTTCTCTTTCTAGCTCTTTTGCTTAAATCCGTCATTTGTTCCAAGCTTTCAAGCTTCTGCAACTGTCTTCGTTTCTTTCCTCCGGTGAAGCTTTATGTCATTCTGTCATTGTCGTCAGACTTCGGCGATTCTCATTCCGGCTTCTCTCTTTCTGGTAAGCCACTGTTCCTCATGGTTTTATTTCTTGTTGCTTTCCAAGAAGCTCTGTTTCATTGTTAATCACCATTGCTGTTTTACCCGTTGTTTCCAAATCATCTTCTTGAATACACACTGTTCACACATCTGTTGATTTCTGCCACTGTTCTTAGCTTGACACACTTGTGCAATCTTTTTGTCTTGATTTCCTGATAGCTTCATCACCATTCTTGATTACGAATTACATTCTTGTTACTGTTTTCTGTGTCTTTTTCCAGATTCTTGCTTTCGTTTCTGTTTTCTGCATAGTCTTAGAACCACGTCCCTTCATGAACTTGTTGTCGAGATAATGGTAAAGAAGCTCTTCCCAGCTGACTGCCAATGTTGAACCACTTTTTTGCTTCTGAAAAATGTCTGTTGTTGGCCGATGTTAACATCCCTTGCTCCTTGATTATCATTTCTTCTTCCACTGTATTTGATAGCCATGTCGAGTAATTGACTTCTCGGATTTCCCTGAGCTCTAGAAGTCTGTCTACTTCTTCCTCTACTGCTTCAGAGTGCATCAACGTTGGCCCTCTTGCTCATTGGATTACAGGTTTGGCCGACCTTTCGACGTTCAATTTGTGGCATGTGACCTCGGGGTCAATGCCAGGCATTTCATAAGGTGTCCAAGCAAATACCTCAATGTTTGCTCTAAAAAAAGCTTCCAATTCCCTTTCTTCTGCTTCGGCTAAGCCTAAGCCGAGAAGAAAGAAGCGTTCTTTATCCCCCTCCTGGACGAGGATTTTCAGTGCCTCTTCACACCTCTCGACTGGCTCCTTGCCGACATCATCTAGTACCTCTATGTCCTCGTTTTCAATCTCTGCCTTCTCTGGTTCTCGAATGCTGCAGGTACAGGTGGATTTCATTACTGCCATGGAGCAATTCTCTGCCTGCAGTTGATCCCCTCTGACTTCTTCAACCCCATGTTCTGTTGGGAACTACAGTAGTTGATGCAATGTTGAGGAAACTGCCCCTCATTGCATGCAACCATGATCTTCCCAAGATGATATTGTATGGTGAGGGCGTGTCAATCACCGATGAATTCTGTCTTGATCTTCTTCTAACTGCTCTTGCATGATTCTATACTTAGAATATTTTGCATGCCTTTCATACTTTGCCTCCTTTGTGCAACTTCTCGGGGTTACATACCTCGGGTATAATAGCTACAAAACTTTTACTTTGGCAAGATACTGACTGTAAACTTTTCATAAATTCTAACAAGTGTGAAACATATACTACTCAATGTTAACTTTGCAAACTTTTTTTCAAGTTTCAACAAAGTGTTTAAACGGTGATTCTCGGTCTAGCCTACTTGTAAATTGCTACAAATTTTAACAAGTAATGAACAATATACTTAGCCTTTACTTTAACCTGTAACTTTCTGTGTACCTCAGCGGGTGGTCATATGTCGGCTTAACATAGACTTGTAAATTGCTACAAATTTCAACAAGTGTTAAGCATCTTCTCGGTTTAACCTAACTTGTAAACTTTTCTCAAGTTTTAACATCATCTCGACTTTAACTTGGGTTAAGCATTACCTCAGTTTAACTTCGGTTAAACATTATCTTCGGCTTAATTTCGGTTAAGCATCATCTCGGCTTAACTTCGATTAAACATCATTTTCGGCTTAACTTCGGTTAAGCATCATCTCGGCTTAACATCGGTTAAGCATCATCTCGGCTTAACTTCAACTTGTAAATTGCTGCAAATTTCAACAAGTGAAGATAAAGAACCATCTCGGCTTAACTTCAACTTGTAAATTGCTACAAATTTCAACAAGTGAAGATAAGGAACCATCTCAGCTTAACTTTAACTTGTAAATTGCTACAAATTTCAACAAGTGAAGGTAAGGAACCATCTAAGCTTAACTTCAACTTGTAAATTGCTACAAATTTCAACAAGTGAAGATAAGGAACCATATCAGCTTAACTTCAACTTTGTAAATTGTTACAAATTTCAACAAGTGAAGATAAGGAACCATCTCAGCTTAATTTCAACTAAGCATCATCTCGGCTTAACTTCGGTTAAGTATCATCTCTGCTTAACTTCGGTTAAACATCATATTGGTTTAACTAACTTGTAAATTGTTACAAATTTCAACAAGTGGTAAACGCATTCTTCTTCTCTCTGCCCCCCCAGTGTGAACTTAAAATCCACTTGGGTCTCATCATACATGTAGCTCCGACCTTGTCGCCGAGGTTGAATTCAAGCCGAGGTTGTCGGCCTTGGTTTCTCTATTTGGCTCCAACCTGAGTTTGATTTTCGGCCTCGCATCGGCGAGCCGTTTCTCTTTTCTCGTTCCGACGCCTTTGTTCCCGGCATGTCCTCCTCGGCCCTAGCATACTTCTCAATTCTGGCCAACTTTAGTCTGATCTTGTGTGTTTCCTTTTTATCTTCTGGGATCTGAGATCTTCTCATTATGCTCTTCTCTTCTCGGACTCAGGTGCCGAGGTCTTATCTTCTGGAATCTTGGATCTGCTTATCAGGTTGAGCTCTTCTTTTCTCGAACCTACTCATCTAGGCCGAGATCATGTCTTCTGGGATCTGGGATTTGCTCACTCAGGTTGAGCTCTTCTATACTTGAATGTTATCTCCTTGGGAGCGCTCATTCCCCCTGTCTTTGCATCCCTTCTGGAAGGGTCTTTGTTCCTCCATAGGTATCTATCATTCCATACCTGGAGGTCATCTTCGTTGTAGTATCTGTTTCGATCTGTTGTCTTTAGTGCGTCACCTTCCTGGCTGGCGTCTTTCACTCCGTAACTCTGGTCACGAGTTTCTGTGTTGCGGTCGTCCCCTTCAACGTCGAGATCGATAGGTCTCCCACTCCCAGCAAGAGTGTTGTCTCTAATCTGATCTTTTTGTCCGTCATTGGCCATTTATTCTTCTTTCTTTCCCACAGACGGCGCCAAATTGTGTGGGTTATTTTCCGACCACACTGCCCGCTTAGTAACCAGCTGGAGAGCACTGGCAGAATAGATGGCACATGACTGACCTGCAACAGAAATATAAGAATCCCGCGGTGGTTTCGACCACCAGGGGCACTCCGACGATCAAGTCAGTATATTTCTCAAAGATAAATCAAGTACTAAACTCACAAGCTTGAGTATCAAAAACATACCTTAGACCCATGGGGGTGCCTCTCTTTTGAGGCAACCTCGGCCTAGCCTAGATGACCTCGGCGTCACGACCAGGACACGTGGCACCTCGGCTGACACGTCGGCGTCACCTTGCCACGTATTGGTACTCAGAAAATATATCATGATACATTTCATGATATTTTTTTCATGATCCCTAGTATTATTGCAAAATTATAGGTTCTACCTTCTCCACTAATTACAATGCTTTGGAGTATCACGTGACCATACTCCATGAGCACCCAATAGCCACTCCTATGTATGTCTCACCTTTCAATTTCAAACTTTCTCAATAAGTAACTCTAAAATAAATTAGAAAATTTAAATCAATGAAACCTACGAGAATAACTAAAAATCTTATGAAATTGCAAAATTAAAATCTAATTCCAAAATAACAAATATAAAAATTATAAAACTCTTGTTCTACATAAGATATACACACATATTTATTTAAATTATAATTTGACAACACGATAAAGCTAACATTATTATTTTACATTACACATGCTACACACATATATACACAAATTATTTAATTAAAATATTTTCTTCAAAAAATTCTTTTATATCATGTATCACACTTATTAATGGCTAGTTATGATTTTTCTAGAAATTCATTCATTTTACTTTTATATTTTGAAATTAAATTTGTAAAAGGATTTTTTAGCAAAATGATAAAATTATAATACATTTTTTTTCTTCAATTTAAAATTAAAAATAGCATAACCACCCCCCAAAAAAAAAAATCGACACGCGTCAAGTGTAGCTTAGCCAGTACCACTGGTTTACCGTGTAGTCGAGTGTACATTACACATTCCTCCCACTTTCTGCAATGCCGTGTAGCGGTTACAATTCGTATATATGAATGAATGAACAAAACGGAGGGAACTCTCTCTCTCTCTCGAAACCCTACCTGTTTTCACACAACTGTGGATTGAAGTCAATCACAAAAACGTTCATATCTCTCTCTAAAACTTGTTGATTCTGTTTTCTCGACGCCATGGACGTCGAAATCAAGAAGGAAATTCTTGGAGTTGAAATCAAGAAGGAAATCGTCGAACAAAACGAATTTCCAGAGATAAATCGAACTTCTTCACCGGCTAGGGTGATCGACATTAGTAGCACTGACTCTGATTCGAACTCCGAATCTGACGATACGGATGACTCGGACGTCGAAGGACTTCTGAGAAAGAAGAGAAAACTCGACCTCGCATTGCCGGTTGGGTTTCTCGATCCTCTTCCTCCTCCTCCGGAAGAACGAATGACGATTGTCGCCGCGAATAAGAATCATGGTCTTTCTCCGGAAGAATCGGCGTCGCATACAAAGGCGGCTGTTGCAAATTCTAGTTCTCCGCAATCTAGTGCGGTTGTTCAGAGCTGTAAGCAGTTTTGGAAAGCAGGAGATTATGAAGGGGACAATGGCATTGATTCTTCTTCGTTTTCTGGTACTGAATTTGAGATTTGATTTTTTTATTATTTGTTTGTATGATTTGTTCTGTTCCTTGTGTTTGCATTGTTTTCCATAATGTTGCTAGTAATATTTTTCTTTATGTTCCTATCTGTTTGTGTATGAATTTTTTTCATCTAAATGAATTTCAATGCCAGTGAATTTTAAGCTTTTTGAGCGTGGTTTTGAAGATGTTATCGAATTAGGCTGCATAACTGTGGTACATATAGCAGTGCGTTATTATGCTTTTTGCAGGAACTAGAACTGAAATCAATTTTAGGATTTAAAATTTTATGCAGGAACATTGAAACATTGTTCAAGACATTCATATTCAGCTGTTTTGTATTGGGAATGTTCAACATTATTGAAACATGTTTTGACTTTATGAAAATTTCTAATGAAGAATACATTAACACATTGCGTTTCTTGGTTCTCATCCTTAGAATTCAATTGGCTTTCAAATCAATTAGAGCTTGCAGCTTAGTACTTTAATCATAATGTGGAAGAAAATAGAACATTCTTGTAAATGAAAAAAGTAGTTTGGTTTTTAAATCATGATGTTGTGTTACCATTTTCTGATGGAGAATGAGTTTTAAGTTTTTATTCACTCATGATTTTTCTTTGAAGTTAATATCCAGTTTCTTTACTTTATTCTTGCAGTTGGCATGGATCATGTCAGGGTTCATCCAAGATTTTTACATTCCAATGCTACCAGCCATAAATGGGCTCTGGGAGGTAAACAGTGTCATGGAAATTTAAATGTTGAATTATTACTATCTAGAGAAGAAAAAATAGTATTTGAATTTTACTAATAGTGACTTCTACTATCCAGCTTTTGCGGAGCTTCTTGATAATTCTTTGGATGAGGTATTTGTGTTTCTATATGCCCCTAGTTATGCATGACGTGCACTTTTTTTGTTCGTTTAACACTAGACTGTTTTTATTTTAATCAGGTCTGTTATGGAGCTACTTATGTCCGTGTAGATATGCTGATAAACGAGAAAGATAAAAATAAAATGTTACTAGCTGAAGGTATGTAGCTCCATTTTCTTTGCCGGGGTATTAGTATTATGAAGGCTTATTTTTATGGAAGATTTTTTTTGCGACTAGAAGATTGGCATGCAATATGCTCCTTACCTCATGGGATCACTATCATTAGATCTGATCCGATAATCATAGAAGTCTAACACTTTGGTACTTGTATCCTTCCTCAGATGACTAGTTAAATGTCTGACTGCAGATAATGGTGGGGGAATGACTCCTGATAAAATGCGCTGGTGCATGTCTCTTGGGTATTCTGTAAAATGCAAAATGGCGAACACTATTGGTCAATGTGAGTTGCTCTCTTTTTTCCCCCTCCATTTTCCCAAACCATAGAGGAAAAAACTCCTGATATCGTTCATGTGTTGCTTTACTGAATCTATAGATAACATAGTATGTTATGATATTGTGAATAATTGTTAACGGTCATTTTATGTTCTACTTTTCCCAGATGGAAATGGTTTTAAGACTAGTACTATGAGGCTTGGTGCAGATGTTATTGTATTTTCACGTTGTCCGGGTAGTCATGGTAGGAGGTAGGGTACTAAATCAATGCAGTAATTATTGGGTTTATTTTTTTTTATTTGCTAATATGTTGCAATTATTTTCATTAATGAAGGATATCAATATAACCAAAAAAAAAAAAAAATGAGATAAATACTTTTGGGTTCATAATAATTACTTGTCAAAAGTGACATGCTGAAAAAAAAAAAATAAAAAAAAAAATAAAAAATAACCGAAGGATGTATAATTATTACTATAGATTTCTTGACCACTCAATCGAGTTTCCATTGTGAAAACTAATTTAAGTATTTTCATTTCTTCAGCCCAACACAAAGTATTGGAATGCTGTCTTACACATTCTTGAGGAGAACAGGCAAGGAAGATATTGTGGTTCCCATGGTAAGAACACTTGGTGCATGTGTGCATGCTTGCACTTCCATTCATTGAGCTAGTGACTCTGGTACTCTTTTGCAACTTTACATGACTACTGTATTTAGAGAAGGTTTTTGATTGAAATTTAGAAGGTTTGTATTGAGGTTAGTATGTTGTAGGTTCAGTTTCAGCTTATGTACCTTGAAAAAGAAAATAAATAAAAGATTTATTATTATTTTATTTTTTATGTAGAGCTGTATGCTACAAAACTATTTGTGCATAAAATGGGGTTTTTTCTATCATAAATGATGAAAGTTATTTAAAAAGAGAATATTGAAAATGAGATTTATAGAGTCGGGAGCTACGTTATTTTGGTTTTATCTTGGTGCTATAGCTAGAAGTATGTTATTAGTTTTCTTATACTTAAATGTTGGGGTATGCCTTATTGGTCCTCCTTTCTTTAATTTATTACTCTTTTTATCTTCATTTGGAATTATAAGATTGATTATGAGAGAGAAGGACAAGATTGGAAGAAGTTGACACGATCTTCACTTAATGACTGGAGTAGAAACTTAGAAACTATTTTGAAGTGGTCACCATATGCAAGCGAAGAAGATCTTCTTCAGCAGGTTTGTTTTCTTGTTGGTCACATGAAAAATTACTTTTAGCATTTTATATCTTATATGATGGCAATCATTCTTGTGGTGCATTATCACTTTAATTTTTGTATTATAATTATGGTTTCTATACTATGCCTTATAATAAATAAAGAATTATACAATAAAAAATAGACTAACTATAAGATTCTAGGGATGGGATTCTTATTTTTTTTAAAAAAGAAAAAAAAGAAAAAAGAAAAGTAAATACAAACTCATCAATGTGATGTAAACCCCATCTTAACCATAGCATAAGTCTCACAGTAGCATGACAAAGAGATGATGTCTATTAAATTTTTTTGATGAATGGTATATTGAGGCAAAATACAAGTACTGCACCTTACATTTTGTTTTATAAAATCTAAGTATGACTAAGAGGAGCCTTTAAAAAATAGAGTACTTTGCAAGTCAAGAATGTTTCAACAATCGATCTTTGTTGTGAAGCCCTAGGAACAATAGGATAATATGATTTTAGTGTTTGCTCTTCCAAGATGTGGATGAAAACTCTATAATATATCTATTTATTGGATTAAATAAGCGTAGTGTTGATTTATTTTTTATATGGGTCTTGTTAACGTGTGCCCTAAGGGTACATGTTAAGAGTCTTGAAATTGTTGTACATTTTTTATGGAACTAATTTTCATAGTTTTAAGCTTGTTAACAAAATCCTTTTTTAGTTACTAAAATTATAATTTTTTCTTCATTGAGTTAACTAGTTGCACACTCAGTACAAAGTGTATTGTTCTTAAACCTCAGAAGTTTATGGGGTTTCTCTGATTATTTTACTTTCCGAGGTGGTCTTTAGTCATGTTAGATCTACATTTAGATTCCGTGCCGCCTCCTTTTTTTTTTTTTTTCCTTTCAATTTCCTTCTGCTTTCCATTTGTCATGTCAGCTAATGTTATTGCTGTGTCACTCTGTAGTTCAATACATTAAAAGAGCAAGGTACACGCATCATAATATACAATCTTTGGGAGGATGACCAAGGACAGCTGGAACTTGATTTTGACACAGATCAAAATGTATGCTTTCGATGCCCTTACATTCATTATCCTTTTTTTTTTTTGGCACCTTATGATTACATGTGATTTTAATAACAATGATTCTTCTTTTTCTTCTTTTTTTTTAATTTTGGGTTTCAAATGACAGGACATTCAAATTAGAGGGGTGAATCGAGATGAGAAGAAGATAGAGATGGCAAAAAATTACCCGAACTCGAGACACTTTTTAACTTATCGGCATTCATTGAGGGTATATTATGTTTTTTTCAACAATTAAATTCCTTTTCACTATTCTTACAAAATTTTATTACATGAATTGTTTACTATTAAAATTCTTTTTTTTCATATTTTCTCTCCTTACTCTTCTTCTTCCTTCACTTTTCCTCATTTTTCTAGGAATCTCTCCCTCCTTTTCTAAGTGTATATTTTTAGTATGAAACTTCATTGCCTTTGTTATAATACTTAAAATTTTTGAAACTGTTTCTATTCATTAGTCATGATGGGCTCAATTTGGCATGTCTGGTAGAAAATTCCTTAAGCCATAGAAGTTAGGCTCTGTTACAACTATTTTGTTAACATATGATGATTGGATTTGAATATATCAGTATTTTACCTTACATTCTTATCTCTGTTAGATACATCTTTAAATATTCAGCTGGGCTATATTGTGATTCAAGATGTTACAGAATTTAGCATTTCGATAACTTCTGTCAATCATCAGTAACTCTATCAGAGATCAATAGATTAGTAATGAGTTGTAAGGCGAGTTGGTTGCACTGCTAACTTGGGTAAATGCTAATTTTGGAGAAGTTGTATTTTAGTCATCAAAAGTCTAGGCATGCCCTGTTGCATTGCCTGACTGACAGGGCAGGTACTGCACCTTGTGTTTTGAGACATGCTTGTAGATTGATTCCCGTGCCATCAGCAAAATTAATCATATCAGTGGGGACAGTTAGATTGTAAATCCCAACACATGTATCCACATCAGTATGTATGACATGCATGCAAGCCCGCATGAATTATGAATGCACTCAGTACTAGTTTATCTATGCATGCTATCAGCATATGTTTTTCGAAGCCCATAAAATTTTGTAATTTATTTTGTTCAATAAATTAACTTATATAGGATTCCTATCATGTGTTTCTAATAACATGTTTTCCTTTCTTGCTTTCAGAGTTATGCATCAATTCTGTATCTGAGAATTCCATCTGGTTTCCGTATTATTCTGCGTGGAAAAGATATTGATCATCATAATTTAGTTAATGATTTGATGCTAACTAAGGAGATTACATATAAACCAGTGGCTATTGCTGATGGGATGCCGAAGGATCCAAATGTAATGCTTTAACTATCAAGCTTTGATTACATATAACGAGTTAGCTGATCCTGTTTTAATGTTGTGACAGATGGTAGCTGTTGTGACTATTGGGTTTGTAAAAGATGCGAAGTATCATATTGATATTCAAGGGTTTAATGTTTATCATAAGAATCGACTGATCAAGGTTAGTTTTATTTCTTTGTCTTATGATCGTATTCACAAAGTGAAGAAACTAAATTCTTAATCTCACATGGCGTTGTGCTTTCCATTGATTTAGCCCACAGAATCCCATTTTTCCAAGCCACCCTGTCCCATTCCCAACCTATACTATCACCACTGCAGTAGTCATACAATATTTTTGAAGCTGAAGGGTCATATTCTCAGATATAAAAAGGGTGACCCAGTTTACAATCTCCCATTGTAATGGGGTCAGCCTTTCCCCATTCCTGGATAGGTTCTTCCCGTGAGTCATATTCTTTGATGTATTTCTTTTTCTTTTTCCTCTCTTTTTCTTTTTTTATTTTTTATTGTTTGTGTGAGCATGGGTTTTCCCTTGTGTACTGTCTGCTATTTGGATATTCAACAGTTTTTTTTGCTCATGGTTAACAGTTAAAATCAAGTATTGTCAGTGTGTTTAGTTGGTTATTTGATAAACTATTTTGATGGGTTGAAATGCACATTTTGAAGCAAGATTACCGACAATGGTTTTGACTGAAATGGCATATGGTTGCCAGTGTTTGCTAGAATTGTACCTTATTGATCCAGTGCTGGAGTCTCCTTGATGTATTTGTTGACTTTGAAACTGTTGCTTTGTTAGCCATTTTGGAGGGTCTGGAATGCTGCTGGAAGTGATGGGCGTGGGGTTATAGGTATTGTTTTTTGCATTGCAATGAGTATTCCTGGTATTATTTTCTTTATTTCAACACATTATTTATGTGGACTGCTTGACCAATTTCATGTCATTTCTACATCTGTTGCTTGACCAATTTCATGTCATTTCTACATCTGTCATGCACTAGGTGTGTTGGAAGCTAATTTTGTTGAACCAGCTCACGATAAACAGAGCTTTGAGCGCACAACTGCACTGGCGAGACTTGAGGCAAGATTAGTTGTGATGCAGAAGAGTTACTGGTCTGTTTGTTTATTTATATATCTATTTCATTTCCCCCATCTATAGGTTTCATTAGTTTTCTACTTTGATCCATGTTTCAATTTTCACGAAATGTGTTTTTGTTAGGTCTACAAACTGCCAAGAAATTGGTTATGCTCAGCGACGACATTCAAAGAAGTCTGTTTCTCCAAATAGAGAAAGTATACCTGATAAAAGAAACAAATCCTCTACACGTTCAAATTCAAATGAGCACCTTTACTGTAATGGTGGATCTAAATTGAAGTCCACCAAAAGAAATGAATACAGGTTGGCTGCAGCTGATGATGCAAGCGAAGATGAGATCAAATCTGCGAATCACGAGAGACCAAAAAGAAGTCATCATAAGGCATCCCCTGCGCATGTTGAGACTACGCAAAATGGGAAATCCGATTGCATCGCTGGACACACACATTCAATGGTAAATTATTTTTCCACCAATTTTTTTCTTAATTTTTCATTTTGTAATACACCAAAGGTGTTTTAATCTGAGAAAGGAAAAAATCTCACTTCCTCTCTCTGTCATTCATGCACACAATCACAATCCCAGTTACTATTATCTGGAAAAATGTTGATGAGCTCTTCCATCTAGTGGTTACTGACCTCTACAAAAATGGTGAAGGTTTATTAAGATTATAGTTTTAAGATGCCAGCCGAGGTTCTCATTCGTTTTTCTAATTTTATTTTATTTTATTTATACCCATTGTTTTTCCCTTTTGACAAACAGGTCGATGATTTTGATGGGGATGAACATGCATCCGCCAACTCCAATGCAGGGAGTATGTCCAAGTTAAAGGAAGAAAATCATGAACCGAGTGAAAGGTGGTTTCATATTTTTGCATTAATCTCAGTGCAACATGATGCTTGCTCATAATACTTTTCCTCATGGTGAAATGTATCTTTTTGTTTTGTAGATTGGAGAAAGTAGACAGATTAATGATGGTTGATCTACATCATGATCTAAAGTCTGAAAGAGAGAGACGTAGATCACTAGAAATTAAAGTAAGTTCATAGCTAGTTTTGATGTTTCGATAACAGTTGTTAAGGTGTTTTAGAACTGAAGGATTTTCAATTGGTTCAGCATTGCAAATAATGTCATGCTTTTTTCTAATCAGCTTCAGGATGCAAACAATAAAATTGAGGAGATGGATAGAGAACAAGAAGCTCTGATTAACATATTCTCCGAAGAAAGGATCAGGAGAGAAGCTGAGGAGGAGAGTTTGAGGAACAGGTTAAAGGTTTGGGAAATTTTCTTTTCTTCTCCTCCTTATGCTGTGTTTGACTCTTAGATTTGTGATGGGATTTGTGGAGAGAGGATGAAAATTCTTTTCTTTTCCCTTCACAAATCTCTCGAGAAATCCAGGATCCAAACACCACCTTATTACTTTTGCTATTGTTCTTGTTGTTTCTTGTATGAACAATACTTGTTTTCTGTAGAATGCTTCGAATACCATCCAAGATTTACTCGACAAGGTCAAGCTGCTAGAGAGCAAGAGGATCCCAAGTTGCAAAACTGAGCGTTGAAGTGCATACTGCTTAGTTCTTCAGCCTCGATATTTAAAGTGGCTTATAGTATATATTCCCTATACAGGATTAACGCTTTTAGAATAGTCATGGACTGATGCACATTTTTTTTCCTCAACTAACTGAAAGGGCAACAAAGAGGTGTGTGCAGATGTAGGAGGTTTTTCCTCAATTGTTATCCTTTACACGCTAATTATATTTTAGTATATACTGAATGTTACTGGGAATTATTTTTAGGAGGTTTTGTTAATATGTAGACTCATCTTGGCCTCGGGATGTTCTTAACAGGTTAATGTTTATATGTTTTTTGTAATATGTGGAATGTGAGGATTGTTGTCTATGCCTAGTCCTAATCTTTTTTCACAAGTCTCCCACCAAACTTGATGTTTCATTTCTTAAGTTTAGTAGAACGAATTGGTGAATGGATGAAATTAAGTAAGAAGTGATAATAAGCATTCCTTGGATACATAAAAGAGTCAGCAAATTGTTGAAATTTTACAACATTATTGATACTACGGAAAATGTATACAATCTTGAAGCTAAACCAATAAATTGGATTGCCAACTAAAGCACAGAATGATTGCATAGTGTGTTCTATTTGGCTGGGGGTGAGGGATGACAAGCTTACAAGGCAGTTTTGTACATAGTTCTGTAATTATGAGTAGTATATTTCACAGACTTATTGCAACATAAATGAAGAATTGAAATATATATATTTCACAATAATTATAGTAAAACTAATGATATACAAATAGAAAATTTATACGAAAAGTTTATATAGAATGATGCATCACATTTGGATCTTATTATTTTAAATCACAAGATCCAACAAAGTGACATTTATTTCAAAAATGTCATTGGCATACCATTCTTTTTAACTATTTTGTATAAATTTTCTGGTAGAATAGCTTTTACGTTATAGTAGAAGCAATTATCATGGCTGCTGGTTCTGAGGGATACTAGGGGGGGTTGGAGGAATATATGGTATCCAAGTTCTCGGGTCTCTTAAATTAAATTCAGGAGGCGGAGGAGGAGCGAGAAAAGGGTTATTAGGTATCCAAGTTCTTGGATCTCTTAAATTAAACGCGGGAGGCGGAGGAGGATAGAGAGAAGGGTTATTAGGAAACCAAGTTTTTGGATCTCTTAAATTAAATGCAGGTGGCGGCGGGGGAGGAGGAGAGAGAAAAGGGATTTTAGGTATCCAAGTTCTCGGTGGAGGTGGTAGCCATGGTGGTGGAGAAACCAGTGATGGAGGGAAAGGAGGGAGCCGAGGGAGAGGAGGGAATGGAAATGGAGATGATGAGGGATTCGGAAATGGCAATGGAGGGAAGGGCAAAGATGGTAAAGGTGGCAAAGGAGGAAAGGGTAATTTTGGAAAAGGCGGTAATTGAGGCAAGGGTGGTAATGGGGGTAAAGGAGGAAATTGCGGCAAAGGAGGCCAAGGGAAACCATAAGGTGGGAAATAAGGAAGGAAAAACTTAGAGGAATTCAAAGAAGTTGGGAGTGGGAATTCCAGTTCCTCTGTTTGTTTCTCACACAAGGTAATGTTTTTCTCTTGTGGTCTGAAACTCAAAGCACTTAAGCTGTAAATACAGAGATTGGTTTGTTTTGATTTCACTGTTACCTCATTAGTTGTGCTTTTCAAACCTGGAACATTACAGGTTGGAGATGTGCTCTGTATCAAGCTTGATTCGCAGAATGATTGGATTTCTGGACCTTCGACGCAATCAACCCCTTCCACAGACGGTATTTCCAACTTGTACACTCCATATCTGTTTGTTGTTCTGTTTACTGAGAAAGTAATCTGTTCCGTGGTTTTGGGTGAATTTGCTTTGAATTTACATTCTACGTGAACGTCGACCCCTAAATCAGCAAGAAAACACAGTATTAGAACACCAACCAATCTTCTTGTTTGGTTGCATTTTTGTTTTCTGTTTTCATTTGGCAAAATGTTTAAGAAAGCTATTTTTGAGAAAATTTTCTGAAAATAAATCATTTTTTAGGAAAATTATTTTAAAGAAAATTCCCTGAAAACAAGCCACTTTTTAAGAAGGGCCTAAGAAAAAGGACTGAAAAAAGTGAAGAAAATGAAGCATTTTTTTTTTTTAATATTAAAATCAACTTAATTCAGAATATGTTTTTGACCATTTCACCTATTTTCAGGACAGTTTTCATCGTAGTCCCAGTGCTACTTGTTAGCATTTGCCTTCTAAAATATACTAGAAAGTTGTTTTTGCACCCAAAAAAAAAAAAAAAACCATAGATGTTTTTTTAAACATTGTTTTTGTTTTTTGAAAACGCAATAAATGAAATCAAAGAACATAGAAACAGAATCAAACAGACCCAACGTTTTTAATAGATTTAAGAGTTCACATTGTTACCTGGCAAGAAATAGCTCTGGCTTGAGAAAGTGTTGTGATAACATGTATCACAATATACAGCACCAACTACAGTGATGTCAGAGGTGGGTTTTGAAGGCTGAGCCACCAGTACAAGTGGCTGAGCAACCAAAGATGCAAGAACAACAACAAAGAAAGACATAATTGGATTCATGGAAGAGAAGAGAAGAGAAGCTTCAACAGAAAAAGCATATCTAGTAAGAATTATTAAATATATCTTTATATATATGACTATGATGAGAAGACAATTGAATTGGTTGTGTGTATGCATATGATAGGTTGGTGTTAGGACCAACTGTATTTTTGAAAAAGGTTTTTCTCCTCCATTCACTACAAACAAAGACATGTGAAGAACCCTTTTGGCAGATTGTGGGTGAAGTCTAGAGAGAGAGAGAGAGAGAGAGAGAGAGAGAGAGAATGGAGTCACGGGTAGTATGGATTGATTTGTGAGGCTATATTTGATTGGAATTGTTTGATGTTTATTGGTTGTGGGATTGTGATGCTTTTAGACTAGTTGTGTTCTTTAATGTCTTTTAGTGATGCATCCCCTGAATGTTATGAGTGTACAGGGTGTACCCGTTTGCTGTCGACTATTACTTACGAGTATAACTCCGAGGATCAAGCGACAAAATTAAGGGGCTTGAGTCCTTGATTAGCTTACAAGTTCTTAATCCAATAAGTTTTATGACATTCCCGAGTTGCACCCCTATCTTTTAGTGATGCATCCCCTGAATGTTATGAGTGTACAGGGTGTACCCGTTTGCTGTCGACTATTACTTACGAGTATAACTCCGAGGATCAAGCGACAAAATTAAGGGGCTTGAGTCCTTGATTAGCTTACAAGTTCTTAATCCAATAAGTTTTATGACATTCATGTCCCTTTCTAATAGTGTGCGAAATCCTTATACTAAAATTATTTTTGGGTATATTCCTATGAATAATTTTATCTGTAATGGAGTGTCAAATATTGAGCTAAAATTTCACAAAGCTATTATGATTACAACATATTTTTTAAGTAAAAGATTTAATAGTTAAAAGTTGATATGGAAATTGATTGTGCCAAGATAATATGAGAACTATTGAAGTAATATAGTTAAAAAATAATATTTTCATTGAGAAGTTAAAACATAATTTAACTTTCATCATGGAGTTGCTCCAATCTGTTCCAAGTGTTTTTGTTTAGGGGATTTGGTCAAAATTAACTTATAATAAAATTTTAATACATTAAAGGTAAGTATAAAAAAAATTTCTTGAAAAGTCCAATATATATTATTATTACCAAAATATTTAAATTTTAAAATAATATAACTTTTGATTTAAATATTAATTTTAAAGGGAAAATCGGTCTAAGGTCCCTATCTAACTTTTAGTAATAGATTAAGTCCACAATCTATTCTTTTGTAGTCTAAGGTCCTCCCTCACCCATACCCATATATAACACTCACTCTCTCGTTCTCTCTCCTCTCTCTTTTTGCACCAAACAACCCCTCTCTCTCTCCTCTTCGTCCTCAACATTCTTCGGAGCTTCACCACCGTTGGCGGAGCACGGTGAAGCCGATCTGAGTTCATAGCAGATCTTGAAGCTTCACATATTCTTGTTGCATCTGTCTAGCTCCTGAGATTCTGTCTATAGTCAATTGAGGCCCACCCACCATATTCGATATGCTATGTGCTATCATAAGCTTTGCTGCCATCATTTGTGCTTGTTGCTGCGTCAGTGCCACAGAACAAAGTTGTTGACTTATTGCGTTGCTCATATTTGAAGCCCGGCTCAGATTAATCGGGTTCTGACCCACATTACCCCAATGCTATAAAGAAATTTTTTTGATCCTTCTGTGCTTGTTTTCTCGACTCTTAGAAGCACCACATAGTAGTACTACACGTACAAGTAGACTTAAATTTTGATGGGTTTTTAAGATCTTATTATTTGGGGATTTATGAAAATAATCTCTGTGATTGAGTTTTGAAGAAGAGTTCCTGAGATAGCTTTTTTCTGGGTTTGAACTGTGCGATTTTTTTGATTTTTCAGCATAGGTTTTATGGAGAAATTTGAAAGATTACTTATGATGTATGTTTGGGTTAAAATGTTTAAGGGTCTATATATGTAATTGTTTAGTCTTTGGACTTTTATACATAAAGATTTTTGGTTGGTGACTTTGGTGAAGTTACTGGATAGAGCCACACAAATTTCTCTGGATAGCTTCATATCTGCTTTTTTGTTTTTTTGTTCAATTTTCTCTGGTTTGATCAAAAACGTAAATTTTTTCTACACAATTTTCTCTGGATAGAGCGACACAAGGCCACACAAATTTTCTCTACACAAATTTTTTTTGGATAAAGCCATACAAAGTCACACAAATTTTCTCTAACACAATTTTCTCTGGATAGAGTCACACAAAGCCACACAAATTTTCTCTGGATAAAACTACACAAAGCCACACAAATTTTCTTTACACAATTTGCTGCCAATGTGAGTCACTAAAATCAGCATCTCCCTCAAACATTAAGGTGAAATCCACTTCTACAGTGAAGTAGAGGGACTAAGCTACTATTTGTAGTTCTATTTAATAAGCCAACTATATTCTTAAGTTGATTCTTGTCTGCCTATGGCAACAACAGCTATTGCATCTGGTCATGCCCAGAGAAATTCTTTGGGTTGAGAGAATTTCTCTGGCTGGGAATTTTCTCTGGATTGTGGAGTCCAGAGAAATTCTCTGGGTGGGAGAATCTCTGAAAATGTATGTCTGATAATTTCTTTGGGTTTAGGGAGTCCAGAGAAACAGAATCCCTTTTCTTTCCCTCTCCTCCTCACAGCAGTTTCCTCCATACCTTCTCCCTTGCCTTCCCTTTTCTCCCCTTCCACCTAATTGGCAGTCATAGTTATATATATGTATATATATATATTCACAATTCCCAGAGAAATTCGAATTTTCTCTGGGTTGAATCTAGAGAAATTTAGAATTTCGCTGGATGAAATTTCTCTGGATCAATTTTCTCTGGACCAAATTTCTTTGGACTAATTTTCTTTGGACCAATTTTCTCTGGATCAACCTGAGGGACCTTAGACATTATGAAAATATTTGGTGTCCTTTATGCTAGAAAATGTTAATACCAGGGACCTTAAAAAAAAATCCCAATTTTAAATTAATATTTTTATAATCCTCTGATCAAGATTTATTAAATAAGATCCATGTTAACTATGAAATTCTTAAAATAAATAGAAAAAAAAGAAGTTTTTACTGTCGAAATTGATGTAAACAGTAACATGTTACTCTGTCAATATCGTTCAAGAGAAAAAAAAAAGATATTATACTTTGTTCTTACTCAATTAGGCACCTTCTCCTTAAGGGTTTATCAAGTGAAATAAATTACTTTTGTCTTTTTCACTAAATAAAAATCTAATGAATGAGTCTTGACCAAATTTCCCTTTTCATTTTTATATACTACACTAATTGACCTCTGCTAAGTGAATGGATATTTTATGGGCCTAGTCTTTTTTGCTGGGCTCGGGCCCAGCCCTCCTATCTGTGCGAACTAGAACTTGAAGGCCTAGAGGGCATCATCAACAATCACCCCCCAGGCCCAAAAAAAAAGGACAAAATAAAAAAAAAAGCATGACCCCAAAAAGGGGGAAGCTTGCCATTAGAAAATTGTCCAACTGCTTGGATTTGAGTTGAGAAATTTGAAATAAGGAAGCCCAGCCCAGCTCAGTTTTATTTTTTAAGTGGACTTATAATTTTTAGAGCAATCATTCATAATTTTAAATTTGAAACTTTAACAATGACTTTAATGATGTGACATGGAACAAAAAAAAAACAAAACAAAACAAAACACATACATCAAATCATTCATGAGTGGAGCTCATTGCAAAGCTTTACTTTTAGTATTCTTAAACATTTTTGTAATTTTTATTAAGGGTTACATATGATTTTTTTTTTTAATCTACATATTATGTTGGTCAAAGTTTATTTTATACTTTGTAGGATTTATTTCATGTGCAATATCTATTATTTTGAAACAAAAACATATCTCTTGTGATTTATTAATTGACGTGTATCGTCCAATATTCTATCTACATTAACAACAAATGTGTGAAACACGTCTGAACATGAGGGACTTATATGCTCATATCTAAGTAAAGTAAATTACATGGATATACGAAAGTTACCTTTCTGTTTCTGTGTGTGAGATATAGAATTCATTCAAAAGCAGTCAATTGGTAGTATAGATTAAAATAAATAAAATAGAGAAACCCAAGTAAGGAAAGGAAAAACTTTGTTTGATTGATTACCTAACTATACAACGATGGATGAATTACATTACTACTAACAGCCGCTTAAACACGAATAAATAAGTGCTCTCGAAATATCAACTCTCACTCTCAGTTGCACACACCAAGATTCAAATCACACCCATTAATGAGTCCCAAAATGGAGCAACAACAAGAAGAAGAAGAAGAAGAAGAAGAAGCAGTAGCTAAGGCAACTATCAAACCCACTTCTCATCTATCCTTCTTTCCCTCAGTTAGTTCTTCTATTTATATATTTAGTAGCTATGAATTTAGGGTTTTTCTTTTACCAAATGCAAGTAGTTGTAAATCAAAATTCTCAAATCCAAGCAGTTTAAAATTTATTTCTCAAACTTAAGCAGTTTCACCACAGTCGAATACGTGTTTTATGAAGCAACTTGAGTTTAAGAAATAAATTTAAAACTGTTTGAGTTTGAGAATTCCGTTTCAAAACAACTGCAATTGTTAAAAAGTTAATAGATTTATGGTCATCAGATGAAATTATTAGAGTCGGAGTCGGAGTCAGAGTCAGAGTCAGAGCCAAAGAGCTCCAGCTTCCTTGAGAAGTGGGACAAGAGTGCCATTGATATGGGAAGCCATGACTCTATCCATAGCACCGACCAGCTTCCCTCCAATGAACACCACCGGCACGGCGGCGGAGTTTCCGAGCAGCCTCATGAGTGCCCTCTCCATCTCCTTCCCCCTGGGGTCTTGGTCCAACTCATGAACAGTTGGGTGCACACCCATTCCACAGAACAGCCTCTTCACAGCGTGGCACATGCAACACGTGCTCACACTGAATATCACCACCGCGCTCTCCGCCGCCAGCCTCGCCACCCTCTCTAATGGATCCACCATCATGGTCTGCCTCACCGGACCCACATAGTAACAACCACCCCGTCTTGTCTCTGCCTGGTAATGCATTGTGAGAGAAAATGAAAGAAAGTGAGACAAAATGAGGGAAAGTGTGGTGAGGAAGTGGGGGAGTTTAAAATGAATGGTGAAGAAGGTGGGGTGGGTTTAAATAGGGAATGTGTTTGGGGGTGTTTGTGTAAATTAGGAGAGTTTTGTCTGTAGCTGTCGGAACGCGTGCGGAGAGAGAGAGAGAGAGAGTCTACGTAGTTTTTGCTTTAAAAGGGATTGAAAAATGAATAATTGCACAAACAGACTTGTTATAAAGAACAATGGATTGAATTGCTCGAATGTGAGACTTTTGTTTGTTTGGGGAGACAAAGGTGTCAGATGTGGAAGGTGGCTTTATTGCATTTGTCTACTCTAGTGAGTACGTCGAAGGCACAACACAACTAAAAAGAGAAGGTCAATTACAGAGACATTCCTAAATAATTTTGAAATTATCGTCAACCTCATTATTTTTTGAAATTACGTGCCACCCCCTACTAGCTAACTCCATTTGTCGAAATTGTGAAATTATCATAATAGCTATCGTGACTCCGTTTGGGAAGTGAGTTAACTTTTTAATTTTTTTAATTATTTTAGTTTGGATTAAAAATTTTAGTTTGAGAAGAGCTTTTTGACTTTTATGACTTTTTTTGTGAGAGAAGAGTGTAATGATTATGAATTGGATGTGATGTTTGAATTGGGTGTGATGTTTTGTTTGTTGTGGTTAAAATAGCCGATTTTATCTTTTCGTATTTTTTTATTTTTATTAAATTTTTTAATATTTTAAGTAATTTTTTTTTTTACTTTTTAGATACACCTAACATAAATATACTTAAAAAATATAATTTTTGTGAATTTTTTTTTAAAAAAAAATCACTAAATACCAAAAATATATTAAAAAAAGGAAAATTTACCCATCAGTCCTAGTTTCTGAAAAGTTAAACCATTTAGTCCTAAAAATTTTCTTATGTTCTATTTAGTCCCATTTGCACATCAATCTAATGTTCGAAACATTAATCTGATGTTTGGAATCTAATGTTTGAAACATTAATCTGATGTTTGAAATCTAATGTTCGAAACATTAATCTGATGTTTGAAACATTGTAATGGGACCTTTCAGTCTATAAAAAAACTTTTAGGACTAAACAGTGTATAAGTTATTAATTTGGTATATTTTTCATATTTTTTTGTATTTATTAATTTTTTAAAATATTTTTTCACAAAATATTTTATTTTTTAGATACACCTAAGTAAGATACATCTATAAAAGTAAAAAAATGATTAAAATTTTAAAAATATTCACTAAAAATAAAAAAAAAACACAAAAAATAAAAAAACTCAATTTTTAAAAAATTTAATTCAGAAAATTCAAACCAAACACACTGATTAGCATTTTGAAATGTTTAATTTTTTGGCATTACCAATTTTTTGCTAATCAATAAAATATTGATTGACAAATGAACGAGACTGATATTTTATAAGTTAAAAAAAAAGACCGTGATATTTCAAAAAATAAAATGAATAAGTGATTTCAAAAAAAAAATACAGAACAGAAGATGGAAGAGATCCAGCAAGCGTTGGCAAATTTTAAAATAATATTATGTTAACACATTTTTATCACATTTTGTTATTATTTGAATTATCGTAATTGATCAGATTTGTAAATCAATATAATGCTGAATGTAATATATAAGAATATGATCATCTTAACATGATTCAAAATTATTCACCCAAAAAAAACGTGATTCAAAATTTTGACCATTAATATGAGAGACATGGAAAACTGGCTCACAAGTAGACGGCTGTCTCCGTCCTTGTTGTCGGGCCTCTGCTTCAATACTTTTGCTTCTGTATATCTGCTATGGAAATTAAAGTAAAAGTTATTTTTATTTTTATTTTATTGCTTCGAATTTAAGACTGTTTTTTGGTCAGAAAAATAATTGATAATTCAAATTTGAGTTTGTTTGAAAATCTTGATTTATACTTGTCAATTAACTCTCTAAATAACACTTGTCTATCACGATTTTCATCATCGTCAACTAAGATTGTTATGATCGGCTACACAACCGAAACTTCGATCGGCTGCGCAACCGATAAACCAAAATTAAGGCGATTTTGAACAAACTCATATTTGAGCTACCTTATAATGCGCATGTTGTTGGGTCTTCCCCAACTCCTGACTCTGCTGCAGCATGTCTTTGAATTCAATTCCTTGACCATTGGTCAAACGGTCTTCACATTTTCAGACCACTTTTTCGACTTCAATTCTGAGATAAAAAGTGTAAGAATAAGTAAACTGATCACATACACTTTTACGTGAAATGGGTCTCATCATATAAAAATGTTTCTGCTTTTTATGGTTTTCTTTTTTTCAAATCAAAGATCCACCACCATTTAAGTAAATAATTTTATTTTATAAATACCATCACATTATTTTAATAGTTGAAAGCTTTATGTGAAGGAGACACATCAAAGATGACTTTTTCGTGGAAGAGTAGAGAGAGATTTGATGGGGGATTTCTTTTTTGATGAACTGTGATGGCTGACTTTGCAGGAGGAAAGGGAAGAGCTTTTCAGTGCTTGCCTGCTATTATTAATCCAGCTTGGTTGTATATATGTACTGTGTTACGTAGTAATGCAGTGGAATCATGCAAAGCGAAGAAGAACAAACTAGAGAAAATAACAAAACAAAAAGAAAAGAAAAGAAAATTTAGGGTGGACCTGTTGACATGTCGACCTAAAGAGGAGGCAATGGGTGGCAGGTTTCCATGAGACAAAAGGTCGGGCGTGCGCTGCGCTGCGCTGCCCCATTTGAGGGGTTTTAAATTGGCGGCTCACTCCAACCTGGTTTTTGCGGGCAGCAGGGTACGGCCAACGGCGTGTACCGGCGAAATATGTGGAGCCAAGCCAATCCATGCACCCTCTCTCTCTCTCTCTCTCTCTCTAACGGGTTGATCCGACCACATCCACTTTTCTTTATTTTTAAGCCTCTCCTTTTCTGTCTTGCCTCTCCTTCACTTTATCTCATCCTGCGTAGCATGCGCTCTCTCTCTCCCTCTGTCCCTCTCTCTCTCTCTCATACGTGTGACGATTTTTACTCAGGAATAATTTAGAATGTACTAAATAACTATATTTTTAACTTTTTATGAAATGTAAATTGTGTATGGATTAGATTTGAAGTGATGTGGTAGAGAGGCGATATGATTTAAATAAGATGATATAACTTAAATAGCATAGTGACTTTTTAATTTTTTAACTTTTTTTAATATATGTCAAATAAGGCAAACTACTCTTGTTCTAAGAATTCAGATCCTTGGTTGTCATTTTCTGCGGCCCTCCCTGCGGCCCTTTGCAAGACAACGTCGTTTTGGTTAGCTTTTTTTTTTTTTTTTAATTTCTTCCCCAAAAATTGAATTTCACGCTTCTTTGACTATCATCTTCACCCAACAGCTCTATGTTTTGTTTTGTTTAGCCCTAACAAACTGAGAGAGAGACGGTAGATGAAGAGAGAGAGAGAGAGAGAGATGGTGGACGGGCGCGACGGCGACAGCCACGGCGAAGGACGAAGGATGGTAGAGGGGCGCGACGGCGAAGGACGAAGGATGGCGGAGGGAGGAGATGACGGCCATGGCGAAGGACGGAGAATGGCGGAGGGACGCGACGGCACGACGAGGCGATATTGCGGCCATGACGAGGTAAAATAAGCAATAGAAAATAAGTGACATTAATCACGATCATCATTTCAGATTTTTATCGCTGATATATACATATATATATATATTTGTCTTTGTTGTCGGAAATTTCTAAAATTTTCGAAGCTATGTGTGCATTTTTGTGTTCTTTGTGATCGCCATTCATGATTCATGACTGGGTATTGTTTGATTATATTGTGATTTCCCATTTGAATTAAGCCTAAAAAAAAATAAACCATACACTACTTGCACAGTTATCCACCGAAAAAAACAGAGCTCAAGCATATATATATATAATTATGCATATACTCCATTATTTTAATACTATAATAATATTCAAATAACATTTGATTTGTGGAATAAATTTATTAATTATGCTCAAGAGGTGGGTAGGATTTATTAATAATATTCAAATAATATATTAATTATGCTTGAGCTCTGTTATACAACGTAAAACAAAACTAAAATGTAATAATATTCAATTAAATGGAAGAATAATTAATAGAAGAATAATATATTAATTATGCTTGAGCTTTGTTATACAAAGTAAAACAGTACTAAAACATAATAATATTCAAATAAATGGAAGAATAATTAATAGAAGAATAAGATATTAATTATGCCTCCGTTTGGCAAGAAAAAACCCAGGCTTTTTTGGCTAAAATAGCCACAAAAAGCAAAATAGGTTATTTTAGCCACAAAAAACAAAACATCAAATCCAACCTATAATCATTACAATCCTCTCTCACAAAAAAAGCCAAAAAAGTCAAAAAGCCAAAAAACCCTTCCAAAACCAGGCTAAAATAGCCAAAAAGCCAAAAAGCCAACCCACTTCCCAAACGGAGGCTATGTTATACAAAGTCAAACAAAACTAAAATATAGCTCTTTTCATTTCTGGAATTACTAAGTAGCGTTTGTGATATGCTTGAGCTCTATTTTACTATGCTTTAGCTCTATTTCTGATGAGCTCTTTTGATATACTTGAGTGTCAATTATCTGAATGTGGCTACAAACATAAGACAGAAAGCAAATACTACTAGGACACAAATTTACAAGATTTATTTGGAGGCCCGCTTCTAAAAAATCCTATCCATCAATTTTAGGGAATTAGCTTATTTTATTAGTTGTATGGTACTCAATTGTAGGTAATGGAAGAAAATAATGTTGTTGATGAGTTAGGTAGTTGTGGTTGGAAGCTGAAATTGGGCATGCCATTGAACTCTGAACAATCTGCGTATGACTTTTACAATAACTATGGCGGAAAGGTGGGCTTTAGTATTAGGAAGTCGTATGCACACAAGAACAAACAACCTAAGGAAATAACTTTACGGACTTTTGTATGTTATAAAGAGGGAAGTCGGGGTATTGACAAGCAAGATCCACTAGTAAAATTTTCGAGCCAAGAGGTGAGATGTGGTTGTGGTGCCCAAATGAGTATCAAGTTAGATAGAAATTTAGGAAAATATGTTACAATTGATTTTGTTGAACATCATAATCATGACCTTGTGCATCAAGAGTGCATTCATATGTTGTCATCCCAAAGAAAAATATCTACCACCCAAGCAATTGAAGTAGAATTGCCTTTAGAATCTAGAATTCCTCTTAGGTCTGCTTATGAGCTATTGGGTAGGGAATCTAGTGGAAGAGCATCACTTGGCTTCACCAAATTGGACCAAAAAAATTATTTGAGATCGAAGAGACAAAAAGATTTGGAATATGGAGAAACGGGTAGTGTGTTACAATACTTTCGTAAGAAAACCGTGGAAAATCCATCCTTTTATTATGCAGTCCAATTAGATTGTAAAGAACAGATAACTAATATATTTTGGACCGATGCTCAAATGATAATGGACTATGCTCAATTTGGTGATATAGTGACCTTTGACACTACTTACAAATTAAATAACGAGCATAGACCTTTTGGGATCTTTGTTGGATTTAATCATCATCGAGAAACAGTTATATTCGGTGCAACATTGATGTATGATAAAACTGCCGAATCATTCACATGGTTGTTTTAGATTTTTTTTGAGGCAATGTCAAACAAAGCTCCAAAAACTATTTGCACAGATCAAGATGCTGCGATGGCTAAGGCTATTCCAATTGTCATGCCTAATACAAACCACTGACTTTGCACATGGCATTTGATGCAAAATGCTGTGAAGCATGTAAGTTCTCTTTTTGGAGATGTAGGGGTGAAGGGTGTGTTTTCAAAATTTATGCATGAAATTGATGATGAAGAAGAATTCAGAATACAATGGGACCAAATGCTTGATAGGTATGATGCACACAACAATCATTAGTTAAAGCAAACTTTTGGTGTGAAGGACAAATGGGGATGGCCATATATTATGAATTCTTGGGTAGCTGGAATGAGTACTACTTAACTAAGTGAATCATTCAATGCATGTTTGAAGGATTATCTCAATTATGATCATAACTTGATAGAATTTTTCACGCATTTTAAGAGGGTGCTCTATGACAAGAGGTATAAAGAATTGGAAGCCGAATATAATTTGTCCCAAAAATTGCCAAGGGTTTCCATTCCAACTTTGATGTTAAAGCAAATGGCAAATATTTACACGAAAACAATTTTTAAGGAATTCCAAAATAAGTATGTACAGTCCATTGAAACATCCATTGTAGGCACTCGTAATGATGGTGAAAGTACCATATTCACAATTCGAACGATAGTAGATGGAAGAAAAGATAAGAAAGTGATAATGGATACAGATGGTTCTTTGAGTTGTAGTTGCAAGAAGTTTGAAGTGAAGGGCATAGTGTGTCGACATTGTTTGAAGGTGCTTAGAGATATATTTAATGCAACGGACCTTCCTGCACAATACATATTGAAACGATAGACTAAAAAAGCAAGGGCTGAAAGTGTGAAAGATAGCCGTGGATATGACGTCAAAGCCGATGTGAAACTACATCAAAGCGATCGATATAGGTCATTGCTGAATATGTTTAGAGCAATAGCAAGTAGAGCCGCTATAAATGAAGAAACTTATCATTTGTCACTTGCAAAAGGTAAACAATTGAGTGTAATGGTTGAAGACAAATTAAGTGTGCACACTTGTGGTCAAGTAGATGTCATTGAATTGAGAAATTCCTCAAGTAACACATGCCCACAGAGTGATGAAGTAGATTGTCCAATCCAAGCTAAGGGACTAAAGAAAATACAAGCAACTAGTAAGGGAAGAAGGAGGATCAAGGGCGGGATGGAAAAATCTATTGCAAAGAAGAAAAGAATGCAATCTAATCAGGTAATTAATTTCGTTATGTGATATGTGTCATCAATTTTGTGTTATGTGTGTTTGGAAAATAATAAATTAAATAAATTGGTTGTTTGTAGGGTGATGGTTTTTGTACTCCTGAAGGTCAATCTGAGCCTCCTGTCGCCATGGGTAATATTTCTAGTCAGGTAATATTTACTATTGTATGCAACTTTGTATCAATCTTGTTGGATTGGTTATTTTTGCAACTAGTAGCGTGAAATTTATTATTTTGGGTCTTTTGTGATACATGTAGGGTGGTTCTTTTTCTGCTTCTCAAGGTCAATCTCAACCTTCTTTATCATTGGGTAATCATTCAATACAGGTAATATTTAATTTTGTATGCAACTTTTGACATGCATAGACCTTAGGAAAATTGAACCTCATACGGAAATTGAACCTCATGTGAATTTTTTTTTTTTTCGTGCATTGGTTGTATAGGATGTCACTGTTTATACTCCGTAAGGTCAATCTCGACCTCTTTTCGCCATGGGTAGTAATTATGTTGAGATAATATATCGTATTGTTTGGTTTTTAAAATGAAAATGCATTATTAATTTTTTTTCATTTCACTTATTCTTTTCTTTATGTTGGTTTAGTTTAGGTTGTTTACACTACACAAGGTCAATCTCGACCTCCTTTCGCCATAGGTAGTAATTATGTTGAGATAATATATCGTATTGTTTGGTTGTTAAAATGAAAATGCATTATTAATTTTTTTCATTTCATTTATTCTTTTCTTTATGGTGGTTTACTTTAGGGTGTTTATACTGCACAAGGTCAATCTCGACCTCCTTTCACCATGGGTAGTAATTATGTTGAGGTAATAAATCATATTGTTTGTTTTTTAAAATGAAAATGCATTATTAAATTTTTTTCATTTCACTTATTTTGTTTTTTATGTTGGTTTACTTTAGGGTGTTTACACTATACAAGGTCAATCTCAACCTCATTTTGCCATGGGTAGTAATTATATTGAGGTAATATATCATATTGTTGGTTTTTTAAAATGAAAATGCATGTGGGGATATATTTTCTGAGTACCAACACATGGCTGAGGTGTCACCGAAGTGCCAGCCGAGGTGCCACGTGTCCTGGTCATGACGCTGAGGTTATCTTGGCAAGGCCGAGGTTATCTTCGAAGATATCAGAATCCGAGATAAGCGGATAAGGCACAAGAGTCCTAGAATAAGGAAGGACTTTAGCATGGGTAAGGATAACACTCTTAGGGAGTTTATCTTTATCTATTGAAGAGTCTAGGATAAGCACTGAGCAGAAGTCCATTGAAGCTAGGCTTCTATGGGGACTAGGATTGAGGTAACTATAAAAGAAAGGCACCCCCGATGGGTCTAAGGTACGCAATTTATATTTTGAACAATGAGTTTAGTACTATTGATTATCTTTGAGAGATATACTGACTTGATCGTCGGAGTGCCCCCTGGTGGACGAACCATCGCTGGAATCTTCTCTTTCTGTTGCAGGTCAGGCAGGTACCATCTATTCTGCCAGTGCTCTCCAGCTGATTACTGAGTTGGCAGTGTGATCGAAAATTCACTCACACAATTTGGCACCGTTTGTGGGAAAGAAAGGAGAATAGATGGCCAGTGACGGACAGAAGGATAAGGTTGGGGACGAAATCCCTGCTGGAAGTGGAAAACACGTTGACCCAAACGTAGAAGAAGATGGTCGCAATGAGGAGACTCAGAACTAGAATCACGGCAAGAAAGACGTCGGCCAGGATGGCGACGTGCCAAAGAAACCAGATCAAAGCGGATACTACAACGAGAATGACCTCCAAGTATGGAAGGATAGATGCCTGCGGAGGGACGAAGAGGTGAAAGAGATGGCAAACAAGTCGACAGGCCTACAATCGGTCGTTAATTTTATGATGCAAAGTAATGTCATGCAGCCACCATACCCGTTGTAGGACACGCCAATTCCAGCGGCCAATGCCTAGAAGGGAGGGCAGAAGCTAATCCCAATAGCCCCTCAGCACACCAGAAGTGAAAAACACTCTCACCGCCCTTCCAAGGAGGTCGGGTGAGGAGAGTCACGAAGGACGCATCAAACTAAAGAAATAGACCCCAAAGAACATCGGCATGTTCAAAGGCAGGAGTTGTGCTTCGACACAACTCATGGAGAAAGGTTGAAAAGGGCCCACAACGAAGCTGAGAGTAATATGCTGAAAAGACTGAAGTCAGGAGATAGCCGAGCTCCTGGGCGGAGCAAGGAAGACCTGAGAGATTACCTCAAGAGGAAACAACATAATGTCGATGCCGAAGTAACTTCACCTGTTAAGCCGAGAACATCATTCTCGGTAGAATTTGACAAATTTGAGGCGCCGAAGAGATTCAGTATGTCGAGGTTCCAAATATACGATGGTAAGTCAGACCCCAACTTCCACGTTGGATTATACTTGAACTCAATGGCATTGTATAGTGGAAACGAGCCGTTGCTCTGCAAAGTGTTCCTCTCATCCTTCGGGGAGATTACATCAGATTGGTTTCACAAACTACCGAAGAGAAACGTGAAGACCTGAGAAGGCCTGGCCGAGATGTTCGTGGCTAGGTTCGTGACAAACAAGCTGCAGCTATTAAGGTTTCCGAATACCCGAATGCAACCAAGAGGTGGCGGTCGTGTCTTTTAAGAAAGGCCTGAAAGATGATTGCGCTCTGCGGAAGTCATTGGCAAAGACATTGCCGAAAAGCATGGAAGAGCTCATGGCTAGAATTGAGAAGTATGCCAGAGCTGAGGAAGATACGTCGGGGACAAAGGAGACAAAACAAGAAAAAGAAAATAGCTCGCCGAAGCGAGACCGACGTAACAATGGATCCAGCAAGCAAGAGGTAGGACTGGGGGCTACACAAGCAGTTACAACTGTGTTTCGAATCCTGATTCACAAAGTCCTTGACAAAATTCGGAGCCAACCCTATTTCAGAGCGCCAATGAGGGCACCAGGAGCGTTTCTGGGAAGAAACCTCGGCAGACATTGTGCTTACCACAATGAAGTTGGGCACATGACTCAAGGTTGTAGAGCCTTAAAAACACACTTAGAAAACTTGGTGAGGCAAGGCCATCTGAGAGACCTTGCCGATGAGGCCAAGACAAGGGAAGAACAGGCAAGACTGCCTCAGGCGACAGCTGCTCCACCTCCCCCAGCACAGCAACCTCAAGCAGGAGGACCTCGGGTAATTAATGTAATTTACTCGAAGGTCAACGAAAACGAGATTCGGGGGGAGATCCAGAAGGTAAAACACCTACAGCATGTCTACTAAGTTGGGGAGAAGAGACATCGGGCAGAAGAGTGCCAAGGACCAGTAGTGTCCTTTACTGATACCGACCTTGAGATGGTGCAGCATCCACATAACGATGCCTGGGTAATATCCCTCCAGGTTGAGGAATGCCAAGTGAAGCGCATCTTAACCGACCAAGGCAGCTCTTGTGACATCATGTATGTCAGACGTTATAAGGAGCTTGGCTTTCACCCAGATGATATGGAGTAATCCAATAGCCTAATGGTTGGGTTCAATGGAACGCCGACATGGCCACTGGGAACGACGAGCTTGGAGGTGCAGGCTGGCACCAAGAAGATAAAGATAGAATTCACCATAATCGACACACCCTCTCCTTACAATATCATCTTGAAAAGGCCGTGGTTGCATGCGACGGAGGCTGTTCCCTCAACATTACATCAACTGTTGCGGTTCCCAACAGAACATGGAATAGATGAGATCAAAGGAGATCAA